CCTAGTCAACATAGTGAGACATCTCTATTTAAAAAAAAAAAAAAGAAGAAGGAAAGAAAGAAAGAACATACTGCAGGAAAAAAAAGATACAAAGTATACATAAATGAACAAAATAAAGATAACAAAAATATGACTCCACTACAGAGGCAGAGAAAACAAAGACATTTCTTCTCCTCCCAACCATAATCCTATGAACAACCTGAAAGATACTTACAGCAATACTTGCAAGTATGACCATAATTCTCATCAAAAGAACATCATATACAAGTACCATCAAAATGATTACAAATTATAAATTACCAGTGATAATTTTCTCATTGGAGTTCCTTTTCCTTTTTCAAGCAGGGAACCAAGACAGAATAGCCTCTAGATCTTTTTTGTTGTTGTTGTTGTTTGAGACAGTGTCTCACTCAGTCACCCAGGCTGGAGTGCAGTGGTGATCATAGCTCACTGCAGTCTCAAACTCCTAGGCTCAACAGATCCTTCTGCTGGCCGGGTGTGGTGGCTCACGCCTGTAATTCCAGCACTTTGGGAGGCTGAGGCAGGCAGATCACGAGGTCAGGAGATAGAGACCATCCTGGCTAACATGGTGAAACCCCATCTCTACTAAAAAAAAAATACAAAAAATTAGCTGGGTGTGATGGCGGGCGCCTGTAATCCCAGCTACTCCGGAGGCTGAGGCAGGAGAATGGCATGAACCCGGGAGGCAGAGCTTGCAGTGAGCCAAGATCATGCCACTGCACTCCAGCTTTGGCGACACGGCAAGACTCCGTCTCAAAGAAAAAAAAAAAAAAAGAGATCCTCCTGCCTCGATCCTCCTCCTGCCTCGATCCTCCAAAGCACTGGACTATGGGCATGCACTAACGCACCCAACCTCTAGATCTATACTGTCCAATATGGTAGTTACTAGTTACATGGAGCTATTAAATGCCTGAAATGTGGCTGTTCCAAATTGAGATGTACCAAGTATGAAACATACACCAAATTTAAAAGATTTAGGAGAAAAAAATAATGTAAAATCTCCTACCTATGTGACTCCCATTTTTGGCTCACATATTTCTAATGTACAGCTTTATATATGTAGTCAAATCCTGAATAAGGAAAATGGATACCAGAAGTATTAAGCAGTTTGCTCAATATCTCACTGCTTGATAGAAGCAGAGCAGGGCCTAGAACCTGATCACTTTTATCCATCCTGCCCTTATGAACAGAAGGAATTAATCATTTAAGACTCAACTTGAGCATCCTCTTCCTCCTCAAACCCACTCATTCCTTTTCCATATCCTAGCCCAGGTGACCATATCCTATTTAGCCTGCCCTTATAATTATACTGTTATAAAATGTATGTTTGTCTTCCAAATGGATGAGGACTTCTTGAGATCAAGCACTGTCTCATTTTTCTTATCCCTGGGAACCTTTGAAGTGCCAGGCACTCCTTCAGGCCCTCCAGCACTCTCAGAGCTTTCAGAGGGTTATTTTTTAGCCCTACGCAGGTACAACTACCAAAATGAAATCACCTACAATGTGATGCACCACCCAAAAGCATTCACCTTTATTACTTGCCTGTCTTAAATTATTTTTGGAATATGCAAAATTAATACAATGCATAGGCCAGGCGCAGTGGCTCACACCTGTAATCCTAGCACTTTGGGAGGGCAAGGGGGGGTGGATCACTTGAGGTCAGGAGTTCGAGACTAGCTTGGCCAACATGGTGAAACCCCGCCTCTACCAAAATACAAAACTTAGTTGGGCATGGTGGTGTGCACCTGTAATCCCAGCTACTTGGGAGTCTGAGGCAGGAGGACTGCTTGAACCCAGGAGGCAGAAGTTTCAGTGAGCTGAGATCATGCCACTGCACTCCAGCCTGGGTGATGGAGTGAGGCTGTCTCAAAAAAGAAAAAAGGGCCGGGCGTGGTGGCTCACACCTGTAATCCCAGCACTTTGGGAGGCCGAGGCGGGGAGATTACGAGGTCAAGAGATCAAGACCATCCTGGCCAACCAACATGGTGAAATCCTGTCTCTACCAAAAATACAAAAATTAGCTGGGCGTAGTGGCACACGCCTGTAGTCCCAGCAGGCTGAGGCAGGAGAGTTGCTTGAACCCGGCAGGTGGAGGTTGCAGTGAGCTGAGATCGCGCCACTGCACTCCAGCCTGGTCAACAGAGCGAGACTCTGTCTCAAAAAAAAAAAAAAAAAAAAAAAGAAAAGGAATAACTTATGTTATCAAAGAAAGACAAGTTACAAAAAATGCTTTGCACTACTGTTGCTCTGATGCTCTATAAGAACTCTTGAGTTCCTAGGAAATTCAACACTCTCTTTAGGTATAAGTTCACTTATTGAATGTGCTTACCTAAATGCAAAACTGTGTGGTAGATTAAAGAAAGAGTCCTGGACATGGGAATTAATGCAAGCAATCTTCAATTAATTGAAAATTTTAGAACTATTAATTGCAGAAGAAACAAACTTAGTATACAGCTACTCGTTACAAAAAGTTAGTTTCTAAAATTCCTCCATGCAAACATGCCAACTTTTGTATTCTATAAAACAGATAAGGCCGGGCGCGGTGGCTCAAGCCTGTAATCACTGCACTTTGGGAGGCCGAGACGGGCAGATCACGAGGTCAGGAGATCGAGACCATCCTGGCTAACACGGTGAAACCCCGTCTCTACTAAAAAATACAAAAAACTAGCCGGGCGAGGTGGTGGGCGCCTGTAGTCCCAGCTACTCGGGAGGCTGAGGCAGGAGAATGGCCTAAACCCGGGAGGCGGAGCTTGCAGTGAGCTGAGATCCGGCCACAGCACTCCAGCCTGGAGGCTGAGGCAGGAGAATGGCCTAAACCCGGGAGGCGGAGCTTGCAGTGAGCTGAGATCCGGCCACAGCACTCCAGCCTGGGCGACAGAGCGAGACTCCGTCTCAAAAAAAAAAAAAAACAGATAAAACTGCCAGGGGCACTGGCTCAAGTCTTTAATCCCCGCACTTCGGGAGGCCAAGATGGACAGATCACTTGAGGTCAGGAGTTCAGGACCAGCCTGGTCAACATAGTGAAAACCAGTCTCTATTGAAAAAACACAAAAATAAGCCATGTTTGGTGGTGCGTGCCTGTAATTCGAGCTACTCAGGAGGCTGAGGCAGGAGAATCGCTTGAACCCTGTAGGTGGAGGTTGCAGTGAGCTGAGATGGTGCCACTGCACTCCAGCCTAGGCAACAGAGCAAGACTCCGTCTCAAAAAACAAAACAAACCAAAACAGAAAAAATTGTAAAATCTGTGGATGAAAACATTAAAACATGTCATTTGTAAAGAAAACTGCAGGAAACATGCATATAAAACACAAATACCAACAGACTTTGATAAGAAAAAACCTGCTTTAGAATATATTAATTTAGCCAAAATGTATGGAATTTATGGAAGAAACTCCACATGTGCTTTGTACCTACGTAAAATCACTTTTGAACTAAATTTGAGTTAACAAATAAAATTTCTCTATTTTCATTCAGTTACATTGTTTTTCAGTATGTATCCACTGTCTTGATATTAAACAAATATCTTGCATAAAAATAAATATAAAACTTGTATACCTCAACTAGGGTCCTTTCGTCTAATTTGCTACTGTGAATAAGAGCACCATCCTGTCCAGATAGGGTTAGATCAAATTTAAAAAAAAAAAAAAAAAAAATTTCCATTCTGCTGGGCATGGTAGACCAGCCTGGCTAACACAGTGAGACCCCATGTAAATTAAAAAAAAAAAAAAAAAAAGAGCACCAACCCCAACTATGGCAGAGCTGCTAAAGGAGTCTCTTGTGGAGACTTGAACCATAAGCCAAGGAGGCAAAGGTACAAAGTCTCTCCTGGAATTAGTTCCTGGACTTCTGTGCAGCCTTCCCCCTTTCTACTATGTCTTCACCATTCCCCTGCAAACAGCTTTCTTCTTGCATCTCTTCTATGCTGTGGCCTTTGATGCTACAATATATTTAAAAATTTTCCCAACAGAGCTTTTCTGCCTGAAACCCACTAGGAAAGATTTCAGGACATTTCTTTAATAACTAATCTTGTTCAAAGAGGAAGGCCTCCTTCGTTTCACTTAATTCAAACCCCCACTGTTCAAAATAAGAATATAATTATAACCTCAATTTATATCAGGCCAGTATAGGAAAAGAACCACAACAGGCTCTCTCTTCCACGTTCATCTCCAGACTTTTTTCCTTAGTTTCTCCTTCCTCATTTCCCTCCTCAATCCCTCCTCCCCGCCCCCCGCAAAATAATTCCACAGCTAGAGAATCTCGTTTTTAAAGGCAAAAATTCAGTGAGGAAAATAAGTATGTGCCTTTTTTTTCAATTATTTATTATTCCTCCGTCCCTCAGGAAGAGTTAAGCTAGTATTTTTTAATCTGACCGCTCTCTCAGAAGGATGATGCGCTAAATACACACTGAAAGAAAAGTCTTCCCAAAGCAAGTGGATTCGCAGCTACAGGCAACGCGGTGGGAGTGGGGGGCCCGGGGAGAAGAAAAAGTATCCTTGGCCCCCAGAGCCAGAGATGGGACAGGAGGTGAAAGAAGGGGCCGTCACTGAGAAGTGCAACACACACACTCGCCAGAACAATCTGCCAAGAGAATAGGACCGGCCACTGCGGCTCCAGCCCGGTCCCGCGGGACAAGGCGGGGGAGCGGGGGCCGGCGGGCCAGGGGGCCTGCCCTCCTTCTGTGGGACAAAACTAACTCCCAGGCGCACCTCCGCTCCCGACAAGAGGGGCCTGGTGGGGACGCAGGCTCCTAGCACCTCCAGCGCAGCACTTGCCGACGGCCTGCGGGGAAGTAAGGCCCGGAGGGAGGGGAGTCGGGCTGCGCAGCGCCAAGAGCACGGGATGGAGGGTCAGACGCGGGCACCCAAGGCACTGGGGGCCGCGACAAGAGACCCTTCCAGCTCGGGAACCCCGGGGCCCCTCTCCACCCTCGCAGAGCAGGATCCCGAATATCGTCCCCAGCCGCACCGACTGCTCCTCACCTCAAGCTGCCTGAGCCTCCGCCTCTACTACAACCTGAGCCGCCGAAGCCGCCACAGTCCGAGCCATTTTTCCCCTCAGCTGGCTCAGCCGCCGCCGAAAGCTTCGGCCGACTCCACAGCCAGCCAAGCCAGCACGTCACTTCCGACCAGGGAAGCACCGCCTTCCCCGCCCGGGCTTGTTGTGAATTGGCTGGCGCGGACGGCCTACCTGAGCGGGCGGGCGGGGCTTTGTCGCTGCCTGTGTGGCGTGAGCAAGGGAGCTGGGGCGCTGGGGAGCACGAGCCCAGGGGACCAGGGTCCGGATCCCTCCCGGGGAATGCTGAGCAGGCTCCGGACCCTCTCCGTGCACACCCCAGACCTGGGGAGGGGAGCTCCCAGGACACCCCAGCTGGCCGCTTCTCGGGCCCTGCGTCCGAAGCCCCGCAAACCCGGCCCGGGCACTGAAGTACCCTATTGTTCCTACCCCCTCTCCCGGGACTCCGCACCCTCCTCCGTCTAGGCTGAGGCTCCCAGATTTGTGTCTTGGCCCCCGGCGGCGCCGAGATTACTTTGTGATTGGAAGACTAAAAGGAACAGGCGAGACTTAAACTCCTCCACTCCAACCAGCATTTACCGAGGCCTCACGGTGGGTCAGGTGGTGTACGGTGGGTAATTAGTAGCCTATCACGTGGTTTCTGTAAAATGCTTGATGGCACGTAAAACGCTTTCAGGTCGGCGTCTCGTTTCGTCCTCACAACAGCCAGGTAAGGAAGATATCCCCATGATAATAACTCACAGCCAGACGACTCTTTCTACATTACAAAGTATTTTCACATGCAATCTCCATAATAATACCTTCTTATTGAGAATTTAATGAGATTATGCTTGTCATTTGGTCCTCACGTGTGAGATTTAAAAATTACGTAACCATGGGAAGAGATAGGAAAATTATCCCCATTTACAGATGGTGCTTCTGGGGCACAAAGATGTTAAGCGGAGAGGAAAGATTCCATAGCATTTTACAACAGATTGTCCTTTAAGCAATAGAAGGGGGTCCACATCATCCAGACGTTCACTATCTAATGTAGCAGACTGATTTAGCCTGCATTTCTCAGCCTAAACTAAAAATTATCAGCCTGTATGTATATACGCATAATTAGAAGGCTCTAAGAGAAGTTGAACCTTCAGCAAATAACGGGAAAGAAAAAATGGTCTGATTTGGCTGGGACGGGGGTCGGAGAAAGGGGGCTAGGGCAATGGGGAGTGTGGAGTGGATGAATCCCTCATAGCGCTGTAATAAACATGCCTACACCTCCCCAGGGATGGGAAAATTGGATGGAGTTTCTATTCTATGGGGAATTCTAGAAGCAAATGTGTGATTATTTCTTATGGCTGTAGCTACCGGCTCTTGTGCACCCCCACTTCTTACTCCTTTCTTTCCCCCCAAACCCGCCCCTCCTCCATGCACACACACTTCCAGGCAGGCTACACGTTCTAGAAGAATGTCCCTTAGAAATCAACTTAGTTCCGCAGCATTGTTCTGCTTTATCTTCTGATCACAGGAGGAATTCTAAAATTGGCAGCAACTCTTTCACAAGATTAAAAAGGGTGGGGAAAGTGATTTATCTCAGGGTAGCTTCCTAGCTTCTGCTCCAGAACTGAGTGTGCCTTCAGGAAAGAAGGAAGAGGCCTTGAGAGAACACTGAGTCTTCAGGGAAGGGTAACTGTTTGTCTGTCTTTCTTTCTTTCTCTTTCTCTCTCTTTCTTTCTTTCTTTCTTTCTTTCTTTCTTTCTTTCTTTCTTTCTCTCTCTCTCTCTTTCTCTCTTTCTCTCTTTCTCTTGCTTCCTCTCTCCCTCTCTCTCCCTTTCTCTTTCTTTCTCTTTCCTCCTTTCTTTTTTTTTTGATCCAGCTAGACAGACTGGATTTTTTTTTTCTAATTTTTTTTTTTTTTAAATGAAAAGTATTTCCCCTGAGTCCCAGCAGCAGAGGGCCCTGGTTCTTGAGTCACTTCCTTGTTGCAGTTCCCACTTCATTATTATAGCTTTTGAATGGCTGATCCATGGTAGCCTCTCATCAACCAAAAGGTTCCCAGTAAGGTGAAGAGAAAGAAAAGGAGTTTGATGGTTTTCCAGATTCCAAAAAAATTAGCTTTCTCAAGTTGCCAGGTGTCAAGAACCAGAACAGGTAACCCTCTCTCAGCATATCTCATCTGTCAGCAATGGCTTGTGAAGATGCATATGTAAACAGTAGGAACACAGACTTCTGGGAGACAGTACAAACTGGTGCTGCTGTCATTTGGAACCAACTAGAACATACGTGGCAACCATTTCTCCTGTTTCCTTTCTTCCACTGGCTTCACTTTTTTTTTTTTTCTTTTTTTTGAGGTGGAGTCTCACACTTGTTGCCCAGGGCGGAACGCAGTGGTGTGCTCTCGGCTCACCACAACCTCCGCCTGCCTGATTCAAGCGATTCTTCTGCCTCAGCCTCCTGAGTAGCTGGGATTACAGGCATGTGCCACCACACCCAGCTAATTTTTGTATTTTTAGTAGAGACAGAGTTTCTCCATGTTGGTCAGGCTGGTCTCGAACTCCCAACCTCAGATGATCTGCCCGCCTTGGCCTCCCAAAGTGCTGGGATTACAGGCAGAGGCCTTACATTTTTAAGTGTTTCAATCCTAACTTCCCACAGACAACTTCCCAGTACCACAAATATTCCCCAGCCTCTTCCAGTACCACATGAGAAATGGGCAATCTTTTTTTTTTTAACCAAAGATAAAATATAGTGGCGTACAATGATTAGCATTTGCTAAGGCCAAGCCCTGTTCTTTGTATTTTATGAGTCTCATTGACTTTATGAGTCTCATTGACTTCCTCCAACCACCTTCCTAAAAGATATAATTATTATATCCTAATTTTATAGCTGAGAAATTTGAGGAACAGAGAGGAGAGTAACTTGCCCAATGTCACACAGCTACTAAAGAGTAGAGCTGGGATCCAAAACTGGGTCTGGCTGCACAACCCATGCTCTTTTAACCTCACAGTTCCCCCAGCGGGCCAAGGAGATTTTAACATCTACAAAATGCTGTTAATAAGTATAATAGTTAGGTTTTTTTTTATTTCCTTTCTCAATGTCGTATCCCCATCTGAGTAGAAGGACTCTGCTGGGTACTATACCAAACTATTTATTTATATATTTTTGTTTTTTGAGACAGAGTCTCACTCTGTTGCCTAGGCTAGAGTGCAGTGGTGCCATCTGTGCTCACTACAACCTCCATCTCCTGGGTTCAAACCTCCAGAGTAGCTGGGATTACAGGTGCACACCACCACATCTGGCCAATTTTTTGCACTTTTAGTAGAGACAGATCACCATATTGACCAGGCTGGCCTGGAACTCTTGGCCTCAAGCGATGCTCCCATCTCAACTTCCCAAAGTGCTGGGATTACAGGCATGATCCACTGTGCCCAATTATTTAATCCCGATTATGATAAGCAGTGTGAAGGAAAACTACAGTGTTCTTTGATTTAGAATAGAAGACAAGAAGGCCTTCCTTGACAAAGTGACATTGAGCTGAGATCTAAAGGATAAGTAGAAATTGAGGATGGGTGAAAGCATACCAGGCAGAGGGGACAGTGTGTGCAAAGACACTGAGAAAGGAGCGTGGCTCAGCTGAGGAACTGAGAGGCTAGTGTTGTTGTTATACTGAGAAGAAGGAAGTATCTTTATTAAAAAAAATTTTTTTTTTAGACACGGCATGTCACTATGTAGCCTGGGCTAGTCCCAAACTCCTGGCCTCAAGCAATCTTCCCACTTAGCCTCCCAAAGTGCTAGGAGTATAGGTGTGAGCCACTGTGCCTGGCCAGAAGCATCTTAGGCACTATAGTGAGACAGGACAATAATGCCAGGCCTGGGAGGCTATATTAAGAATTGAGGTCTTTATCTTGAGAATGAAGAGAAAGATTTTAAGCCTTCAAGTGATCAGAGTTGCATTTTTGAAAGATTTCATAGAGCTAGGAGGAGAAAGGATTAGAAGGGTCTAGGGGATTTGGATAGCCCAGTCTGGAGTTTATTGCAACTGTGTAGGGAAGTGATGACAGTGGCTTGAACCTTGGATAAGACACAATAAATGTGTGGCTCACGCCTGTAATCCCAACACTTTGGGAGGCTGAGGCGGGTAGATCACCTGAGGTCAGGAGTTCAAGACCAGCCTGGCCAACATGGCAAAACCCCATTTCTACTAAAAATACAAAATTAGCCAGGTGTGGTGGTTCATGCCTGTAATCCCAGCAACTCAGGAGGCTGAGGCAGGAAAATCACTTGAACCCAGGAGGTGGAAGTTGCAGTGAGCCAAGGTCGTGCCATTGCACTCCAGCCTAGGCAAAAAGAGCGAAACTCCATCTAAAAAAAAAAAAAAAGACACATAAATGTGAAGCTGACTGAGCTAGGGTTCCTGGCCTTGGAGACAGTCCAGTAGGGGAGAACAACTTAGAAGTAAAAATAGTATATTGTGCTATGAGCACTACTAGAGGCAAGCCCAAATAACTCTGAAAGGTTGGAGAAAAGATAAGAGGGAAGATGGAAAATGTATTCGTTATCTATTGCTGCATATCAAATTACCCCAACATTTAGCAGCTTAAAGTAATAAACATTTACTAGATCGCAGTTTCTGTGGGACAGGCATGTTGGCATGGCATAGGTGGGTGTTTCTGATTTAAGATTTCCCACGAGATTGCAGTCAAGCTGTCAGCTGCCAATCCCATCTAAGAGCTTGAATGGGGGGAGATCCACTTCCAAGTTCACTCATGTGGTTGTTAGAAGGCCTTGATCTCTCCCGACATAGGCAGTCCTCTCCCCAGGGCTTCCTCTCAACATGGGAACTGACATTCCCCAATGTAAGTGACCAAGAAAGAGAGCAAGAGAACCAAGAGTATATGAGAGAGAGCACCAATGGAAAGAAGTCACAGTCTTTTTGTAACCTAATCTCAGAAATGGTCTTACACTTCTGCCATACTCTGTTTATTAGAAGTGAGTCAATAAATTCAGTCCACGTTCAAGAAAAGGGAAATACACAAAGGTGACGAATACACAAAGGTGTGAATAGCAGGAGGTGGGG